GAGCTGCCCAGGGCCGGGGGCAGCCGGGGGTGTTGGTACCAGGCAGTGCTGGGGCCAAGCAGAGCACGAGGCCTCTTGCAGAGCCCTGGAGCAGCCTCCCACTTGCCAGCCCCGGCCTGGTGGGGTGACACTGTCCCCTCCCTACAGGACACTCCCAGGGAACTCTTCTGGGGTGCCTTTTCTGTATATTGCTGGTTGCGGTTTCCTGCTGGGGACCTTAGGGCCCCTTTGCAGTCCCATCCATGGGGCACAATCTCCTCTGCAGAGCTTGACTCACTGCAGACTTTGCAGGGAAACCTGTGCTCGCAGCCCAAGTATGTCCCGACCACCCGCACTTCTCCCAGGTTAGCTGGGAGGAGTTCCCCCTTCCTAGGCACCCGCGGGATGAGGGGGGAGGCACTTGTTTTCCTGCTGTTACTGTTGCTGTTGCTGCTCTGCCCCTGTCCTTGCCCTTCCTGGCGCTGTCAGGTGAGCAGAGCAACCACAATTGGAAAGGGGCGAGAGAACCGACCCAGAAGCCTGAAACGGGGGAAGCAGAGAAGGGAAAACCTGGACAGTGGGGACCCCTGGGATCCCCAGGATAACAAGGTGGAGAACCTGGAGAGGAGGAATGTCTGGGAACACGGCACCCCGAAGGCGAGAGTCAGAGGAGAAGGGACCATTGGGACCCCGAACACTCCCTAAGTGGGACCCCCAGCATCTCAGACAGGGGAGACTCTCTGAACCAGAGAGGGGAGAGACCAGAGAGGGGGAACTCCTGTGAGAGTTTTTCTGGCCGAATCTTGATATTTTAGAGTAATTTTTTAGCTGAATCTCAAATTTTTGCAGTTTGGGGGGCCTTAATCTCACTATTTCTAAGGGGTTTTTTGCGTGAATCTGAGTGGTTTGGTTTTTCTGGGCTGAGTCTTGGTGTTTTGGAGGTTTTTATGGACACAGGATGCCCAGTTGAGTTCTAGAGATTGACTTGGGCAGGAGGAACCCCCAAGCCAACACACTCAGCCCTTGTTTTCACCCCATCAGGATTTGTCCTTCCCAAAGCTTGGGCGGATGGAGGAGGAGGCTGCGAGGAAGAGGAAGATGCCTTGGGCCCCCCAGGCAGGTGAGGAGGAAGTCAGTGTCCCTTTGGGCGGGTGTTGTGCTGGCTCTGTCAGCCAAGCATGGCCCCGGCTGCAGGACAACCCCGCTGGCGCCGCCGTCCTGCCGGGGCCGGAGTTGGGGGGATGTCCTTGGCCTTCCCTGTGGGCCGGAGGCAAATCCCCTGCCTGTCCTTCTTGCTTCCTGCCCCAGGCCCCGAGCTGAGGACGGAGAGCCCGGAGGACAAATCCCCCCGTGAGAGCCTGGTGGGAGAGGCCGTTTTGAAGGGCTCCCCGGCGCAGGAAGGCAGCGGGGAGGAAAAGGGCCGGAGATCCCCCCGCAGGAGGGGCTCCAAAGCCAGCCCAGGGTGCTCTGAGGAGGAAAGAGCCAGCCTGTGCCGGGAAGGCGACCGGAGCTTGAGGGGGAGCTCTAACCTGGTGGTCCCTGAGCAGCCTCCCAGCAGTGACAAGCTCTTCAAGTGTTTGGAATGTGGGAAGAGCTTCAGGAAGAGCGCCCACCTGATCCGACACCAGCACATCCACACTGGAGAACGTCCCTACACATGTGGGGAATGTGGGAAGAGCTTCAGTAACATCTCCAACCTCGTCACCCACCAGCACATTCACACCGGGGAACAGCCCTACACGTGTGGGGAATGTGGGAAGAGCTTCAACCAAAGCTCTAACCTGATCCGACACCAGGCCATCCACACTGGGGAACGGCCCTACACGTGTGGGGAATGTGGGAAGAGCTTCAGTGACAGCTCCACCCTCCGCTCCCACCAGCACATCCACACTGGGGAACGGCCCTACAAGTGCTTGCAATGTGGGAAGAGGTTTCAGCGCAGCTCAACTCTCCTCAGGCATGAGCAGACACACACGGATGAGAGGCCCTTCCGCTGCACCGACTGCGGGAAGGGCTTCAGCCGGAACTTCACCCTCGTCACCCACCGGCGCATCCACACTGGGGAAAAGCCCTACAAGTGTGGGGAGTGTGGGAAAAGCTTCACCCAGAGCTCTAACTTGACCAAACACCAACAGACCCACCAGTAAGAGAAGCCCTACCAGTGCCCCGACTGTGGGAAAAGCTTTGGCTGCTGCTTCCACCCCAAATGAACCCCCTGATGGGGAGGCAACCCCTGGAGTCCAGTGACTGTCAGTCCATCCCTTTCGACCACAAAGGGCCAGTCCTCTTTCCCAGGGCCAACTTCTTCCAACAGAACCCTTCTTGGGGGTGTTTGGAGATTCCTGCCTTGGCTGGGGACCCCCCAAGGTCAGTCCTAGAGGTTGAAAGCAGAGCGTTGATCTGAAGGAGTTCCATCCATCTCTATTTAGGAATTATTGCTTTTGTGCCAGCTGGAGTAGAATTGCTTCAACAATTGCTTTAGTGTAGAGCACTGTGCTATCTTATCCTATACTCCTGGTAGTTTTATTGTTTATGTGGTGCAGTAAATAATTCTGATCAAGATCTTTTGTCTGATCATTTGTAACCCTAAATAAATTCATTTCTATCAATAGATCTGATTTGCCACCATTAAAACCTGAGGGACAAAAGTGGTTCAGTCACACCTGTCTAATTTCTCTAAACTGAAGTGTTGGCATAATCCAAGGCTGAGGTTGGATCCAGCAGCCCCCAGCACCCCACAGGAAGTTGGGAGCTCAGGGGGCCACCCCCCTTTCCCAGCCCCCCTGTGCCCAAAGACCCCCATGGGACCGTTGGACCTTCCAGACCACCCCCCATTTTCCACCCTTCTCCCTGTTCCTCCCACTTTCCCATTGTCCTCTCAATCCCTCGTTTCCCCTTGAACAGTTTTGGGGTCCCAGCTCCCTCTTTTTACCCCCCCCTTCTGTGGATGCTGAAGGAGAAAATGAGGCTGCACACACAGAGTTCCATTTCAGGACTTGTCTGCCAACACTTTTCCGTGTCCCCTTTTATTCCTCTTCTCTTGTGAGCAGCACACGGTGTTTGTCTTTTAGTCCACTGGGCTTCCCAGCATTGCCCCAAAGCAGTGCCCTGATCCCACACATTCCCCTCCTCTCATGTGCTGGCTGTGTTCAGCCACCAGAGGAAAACACAGGCTGGTCATGCAGGCTGGTTAAAGAGCATTTCCACTTGGAGAAACAACCTTCTCTCTCTCCAAGCACTCAGCCAAGGTCCATCCTCCCTTTGCATTCCCATGAACTCAGGGCAGGTGCAGAGTGACTCCGCTTGGTCCCACCTCTGCCCCTGTTTTGTTTGGACACACAGAGTTCAAGGCCAAGAGGGCCAGGACCCGGGCTCCTTGTCTTGGGGCTTGTCCCATGCGCTTCCAGAGGACTTGGAATATTGAAACCAGGCAGATTCTGAACCCCTGCTCCTGATGCTGCCACAGTGCCCACACACTGGC